TTTGAAGGGCTCCTAGTTATATACATGTGTGCATACATTGTCATTGTCTCATGAAATGAATAGAATATGTTCTAAACGAGAAAAAAGTTGATGTTGTTATGACAGATATTCTAAATGGAATGATATGATGTTGTCACGAGGCTGTTTGAAACAAAACAATGTTGTGTTGTCACGGAGCCCGTCTGAAACAAAACAATATTATGTTGTCATGGAGCCCGTATGAAACAAAACAATGTTATGTTGTCATGGAGCCCGTATGAAACAAACACTGTTGACAATCCAAAAAAAGTATCACAAGTGACAGAGTTCTAATATTACAGCAGAAACAACATTGTATCTACATTTAAATATTTGGGAAAATTAATAAGGAATGGAGAAATAAGTTTTGTTTGTAAAAATAGTGTGATTTTCTCTTAGTGTGGTAAAGTATGAGTTTAGACAACCTGACCATTTTGAAATCATCGAACGATGTATCAAATACAGGACAGAGTACTTTACAATAGCGTGTGAAAACAAGCGGACTGGCTTGGCACGAGGCGACCTTCTTCCTTTGTGTTTACCTATTTTTGTTCGTCACGTGCTTAATTACTCGATCCCGCATTGTGTTAGGCACGTTCTTGTCAAGGTTCGTTGTTAATAGTGCATATATCATTAATGTGACAAATATTCCCGAAAGCTCCGTCAGCTTCACAAAATTAATCTGCCTGGTATATTTCAGATGACGTTTTATTCGATAGTTTAAGATTACACATATCTTCGATTTATATTCATTATTTGTGTTTTTTCAAGTCATTTAATTCGGCTCCGTGTGTTATAATAATAAAACCATACTTAAGTGTTTTCCTTAACCGTATCATAACAAAAGGTTATACATCCAAGAATACCATTTTGAGCCAAGTCGTTTTACTTCTCAAGTTTGTAAATCAAAATTGTGTTGAAGGTAGCGCAGACATAGATTCATCATGTAACCATCTACAGTCACACAGTGACCTTTTACTAAGTCATTATACCAAATCACAATTGATGTAAGCACGTGCCCGTATGTCATATCTGTTTACACCCGAAACTTAATCGCACACATAAGATATAAATGTATAGGACGTTGAAAAGCCTTATTTTCTACACATCATTCAATTATAATCTCATACCACAGCTTATTTCGGATTATCTGTTAGACAGATGTTTTCTTAATCAAATATGTTCTTCACGAGTGTGAGAAGCCTCTACTGCTTTGAGCCAACGTTAAAGAAATTTTACCTGCATACCTTGTGAACAATACAAATGTTTGCTTATTGATTCAAGAATGGATTGGGTTAAAGAAATAATGCACTGGTGGTCACAACACATGATGTAATTTATACTGAATCACAGCCACAATTGGTTTAAGGGTGGCCAAACCCTCGACAATCTTTTATCATAAAGCCTCGTGGAAAGATTGTTTTATGAAACATGCCTCATATCATATCCTGCCGCGATCTATATGTTTAATGCTATATATATCTGTATGGAACCAGTAATTATTCTCAAATAATCCATTTTTTTTGTCTTCTTAGCACGGCTTACGTAGATATAACAATGTAACCCTTTGTAACTATAACATGGCATGGATTCTGTATTTAATGTAATTCTGTGTAACTATAACATGGCATGGATTCTGTATTTAATGTAATTCTGTATAACCATAACATAAAATACAATGTAACCCTGTGTAACTATAACATATAACAATGTAACCCTATGTAACTATAACATATTACAATGTAACCCTATGTAACTATAACATATTACAATGTAACCCTGTGTAACTATAACATATTACAATGTAACCCTATGTAACTATAACCTATTACAATGTAACCCTTTATAACTATAACATATTACAATGTAACCCTGTATAACTATAACATATAACAATGTAACCATGTGTATCTATAACATATTACAATGTAACCCTGTGTAACTATAACATATTACAATGTAACCCTGTGTAACTATAGCATATTACAATGTAACCCTGTATAACTATAACATATAACAATGTAACCCTATGTAACTATAACAATGTTACCCTGTGATATATAAAAATGTATTACAATGTAAACAATGTATAACTATAACATATTACAATGTAACCATGTGTAACTATAACATATTACAATGTAACCCTGTATAACTATAACATATAACAATGTAACCCTGTGTAAATATAACATATTACAATGTAAACCTATGTAACTATAACATATTACAATGTAACCCTATGTAACTATAATATATTACAATGCAACCCTGTATAACTATGACATATAACAATGTAACCCTATGTAACTATAACATATAACAATGTAACCCTATGTAACTATAATATATAACAATGTTACCCTGTGTAACTATAACATATAACAATGTAACCCTGTGTAACTATAATATATAACAATGTTACCCTGTGTAACTATAACATATAACAATGTAACCCTATGTAACTATAACATATAACAATGTAACCCTGTGTAACTATAACATATAACAATGTAACCCTATGTAACTATAATATATAACAATGTTACCCTGTGTAACTATAACATATAACAATGTAATGTAACTATAATATATAACCCTGTGTAACTATAACATATAACAATGTAACCCTATGTAACTATAATATATTACAATGTAACCATGTGTATCTATAACATATTACAATGTAACCCTATTTAACTATAACATATAACAATGTAACCCTGTGTAACTATAACATATTACAATGTAACCCTGTGTAAATATAACATATTACAATGTAACCCTATGTAACTATAACATATAACAATGTAACCCTTTGTAACTATAACATGGCATGGATTCTGTATTTAATGTAATTCTGTATAACTATAACATAGCATGGATTCTGTATTTAATGTAATTCTGTATAACCATAACATAAAATACAATGTAACCCTGTGTAACTATAACATATTACAATGTAACCCTGTGTAACTATAACATATAACAATGTAACCCTATGTAACTATAACATATTACAATGTAACCCTATGTAACTATGATATATTACAATGTACCCCTGTATAACTATAACATATAACAATGTAACCCTATGTAACTATAATATATAACAATGTTACCCTGTGTAACTATAACATATTACAATGTAACTATAACATATTACAATGTAACCCTGTATAACTATAACATATAACAATGTAACCCAATGTAACTATAATATATAACAATGTTACCCTGTGTAACTATAACATATAACAATGTAACCCTGTGTAACTATAACATATAACAATGTAACCCTATGTAACTATAATATATTACAATGTAACCATGTGTATCTATAACATATTACAATGTAACCCTGTGTAACTATAACATATTACAATGTAACCCTGGGTAAATATAACATATTACAATGTAACCCTATGTAACTATAACATATAACAATGTAACCCTTTGTAACTATAACATGGCATGGATGTATTTAATGTAACCCTGTATAACTATAACATAGCATGGATTCTGTATTTACAATGTAACCCTGTATAACCATAACTATAAAATACAATGTAACCCTATGTAACTATAACATATTACAATGTAACCATGTGTATCTATAACGTATTACAATGTAACCCTATGTAATTATAACATATTACAATGTAACCCTATGTAACTATAACATATTACAATGTAACCCTGTGTAACCCTGTGTAACTATAACATATAACAATGTAACCCTGTGTAACTATAACATATTACAATGTAACCCTATGTAACTATAACATATTACAATGTAACCCTATGTAACTATAATATATAACAATGTAACCCTGTGTAACTATAACATATTACAATGTAACCCTGTGTAACTATAAAATATAACAATGTAACCCTATGTAACTATAAGATAGTACAATGTAACCCTGTAACTATAACATATTACAATGTAACCCTGTGTAACTAGATATAACAATGTAACCCTGTGTAACTATAACATATATAACAATGTAACCCTGTGTAACTATAACATATTACAATGTAACCCTGTGTAACTATAACATATTACAATGTAACCCTGTGTAACTATAATATATAACAATGTAACCCTATGTAACTATAACATATTACAATGTACCCCTGTGTAACTAGATATAACAATGTAACCCTGTGTAACTATAACATATTACAATGTAACCCTGTGTAACTATAACATATTACAATGTAACCCTGTGTAACTATAACATATAACAATGTAACCCTGTGTAACTATAACATATTACAATGTAACCCTGTGTAACTATAACATATTACAATGTAACCCTGTGTAACTATAACATATAACAATGTAACCCTGTGTAACTATAACATATTACAATGTAACCCTGTGTCACTATAACATGGCATGGATTCTGTAATTGATGTTATTCCCACATTCGATCTATTTGTTACATTTTTACAATAGCAAAGTTTAATTGGAGTTTAAACACTAATGAAGAGAGACTGATGGTTGTTCAGTAAACTCACTAGCAACAAGTAGTTTTCATCATATTACATAAACCTCGAGGTATATGTGTCGTAGTCTTTTTAAACCTTGCTTTAGTACAAATTAGGTGAAAGATTTATCATCATTTCCATTTATAGTCTACAGTAAATGGTTCCACAGTAATTAATGTTTATAGTAAAAGAAGAAATGTGTCTTATAGTTGTAACAAACACAGAAACTCAAGCTATCATTGTGTCTTTTGTCCCTAATGACGTGTAATCTTATACCAATAAATCTTAGAAAACATTACGTAGCGAAGAGAAAGCTGTAACCTTTTTCCCGCATTTAATTCCTAAATATTTCATTATAATCCTGGATGCTGTGATTGAAAACGAAAACCTTTTTAACTATACCTACCATCTCACTTCTCATACCAAAACAACAACTCTGACGTGGAAAACAGAGATGATAGATATTGTTGTCAAAAAGTACTTACCAAATCATGTATCATGATGATAAAGAAAGAGATGTTGAGAATGACTGCATCATTTTGGTTCCGAACTGGTCGGACTGACTTCCGGTAGTCCTTAAACAAATCGTCATGCAATTTGCCGACATCATGGGCAGTAGCAGATTGGGATTTATGGACTGTGAAAACAGAAATTTAGAAAACTTATTGTTGATAATGAATAAGATAAATGATGTTATAATAAGTTACGTGACAACATCTATACTGCGTAGTGTCTGAGAATTTGTCCTCTATATATAGAACATCTGAAAAGAAGTTGGAACCGATGCGTTTAGAAAACTTTTAGCATTTAGTCACAAACTAATTAAAACTACAAAAACAAAAACAGTAAGTAAATAAGTAAATCGTTGTGTTGATCATCTAACTTATCTTAATGTTGATATGTAAGACAATGATATACCATTCAAACCATCAGATATTCACCAAATATTAAAACACGATATTCTTTAGAAACTGGTACATTATCAGAGCTGTAATGATTTTTGTCTGATTCAACGTATCCAGTAGACAATACGAAGTACTGTTGAACAAAGTTCAAGTATTAGATGGTTCTTCTCATTAAGTATCAAATATGTGTATGATATTTCGGATAAAAGGAAATGGTTGTAAGCTGGCGATGCTGGCAGATATCTTTGTAGTAGGTATTTTTTTATCGTAGTTCATCGAGATTCGGAATAGAATTCAGAATTCTGGCATGTCCGGAGGCATGGTAAAACGTACAATCTGTCTACTGAGCATCACTGCAGATAATACCTCGTAATTACAAAAATATAATGCATGGATTCTCATTAAACAGCCATACGTTGGCTGAGAACGGTCAAAAAAATTGGTGTGCAAAGGAAATATAATTGTGTAGAAACGCAATGCAATAGTATCGTTCTCACACAATATATTTTATGTGATGTTCGTTCGTACATTCCAACATTGAGACTAGGAAGATATCATTAATAAATGCGATATTTGAGTAGATCCATTAGCGTTACGACATTTCTGCACATCGATCTAATGTGGTAAATGTAATGGAAATCGTTGTTTATCGACTACAAATGTACATATATTGCCAAAATATATGACAATGTCTTATTTACAGAAATTCACACAAACATCTACACTAATGTCTGTTGTCTCTTCCATTTGTTGCCTTTTTGTGTGTTTCTCTCTTAATCTTTGTCATGGTATTACTTAACATTAAGGATAGCGTATCGATTGTATATATATCCTATTGTAAATTTTCTTTCCTTAACAATATCAAGCTTGATTCACAAAGCTATAGTTTATATATTTCGCAGACGATCCGTCTAACTCGATCCATGTCCGATGACAGCTCAGGGTTAGATTAAGGCAGGTTGATCATGGTAATGAAAAGTGTCATGGCTGCTATCATGATCCAGGTTGGTATTTTGTTGACCAGTCAGTGTTTTGTGTGGAGTTTTCTTTCTGTTGACATTTTGATTAGTTCTCTATTTTATTCTATTTTTATTCTCTTAGCGTCTAGTTACATTTCCTGTTTATTTCCAATTCTGCCTAGATCTTTATAAAACTATCTTCCATTTTTGGCCTTTCTTCCTGCACTGTGTAATAATCAGGTTTTGATCTTTAATATATTGTGTATATATCCGATGCCTGTTTGTTATTATTACAATTGTTTCTTATTTCGCTACGCATATCGCAGAGTCGGTTCATGTGGAAGTCGTTATCATAATAGAGAAGGTTTGAAAATGTCAATAATATTAGTTATTCTTGCCTCTCCAATACAAAACTATCGGAATAATCGACCAATACGACCACAGACTATCTTCTAAACGTGGAAATCACCGGAAATTACAATCTTGGGATTTGAATAAGATCACTGACCTGTGAACCTAGGACATTAAGGAGTTAGAAAGAAAGTGGGTTTTAGATTAACCTCGAACGAACTTCAATACAAAATTATCATCAGTGAAATTGTAACTAATTAGGAGACACATCCCCCTATTTAAACAATGTATCACTTTATATAGCCACTAGTAAACACTAATTAGCGATCAGCTGATATATGCCAGTGTCAGTGTCCACGTCTACAAACATAAACCCAGATTCTAAAATAAGGGGAGGTAATTGATGATGACAGATTATGGATTTCTTGCTGTTATATGAGCTGTGTTGTTGCTCCCATGTTACTTGTTCAAGGATTAAACTTGGTCATAAAAATAGACCAGGAAGCAAAGTTATCCGGTTTAAGTCTGAAATAGTTATTTTCTGTAAGGTTACATAATGAAATCAGTTCTCCGTTGGGATCTAACATAGTTTTATATATGTACATTTTAAGAGTTTTTCCTATCCCGTAACATTGCGTTCGTCTGAAACTCATAAAAATGGTCAAACGATTTTCGGAAACATTGATTTGGAAGGTTTATCCAATGGTATCCTATATGGCTCATACTTTCTCTTAAGCTGTTAACTCTGTTCTTTCTGCATGGCTTCTTTAATCAACTTTTCCTGACCAATACGCTATAACTAAATGCTCACAAAATGTAGCGTTGTATACACCTATATGCCAGGTGGTGATGGTGGCAAGGTGGCGCTCAACTAGGCGGTCGTGGTGCGATTCACTGATCGGCGATCAAATGTTATTGGTTACCGTCCCCACGATGAGGACTTTCTCCTTGCTTTCGGTTTTCTTCGGTAATAGGATCCCTGTACTTATCCTCTTGAAGAAAAAAGACTGATTTCTTTTTCCGTGGTTTTCTTTATTTAGACTAAAACCAATAAGCACTGATCGCCTGTATGATATATTCATCCTAGTACTTAAATCAGTTATAGCTCGATGTAATCTATTGATTAGCTTAGGAAATATTTAACAGGAAACTGTACTGAAAGCTCGTAAGTAAAGTCTACTATATTTGCAACAAACAAGACCAGAACATCATTCTAAAACCAAGCTCGTAAGTAAAGTCTACTATATTTGCAACAAACAAGACCAGAACATCATTCTAAAACCGTTTTCCGTGATATTTTGTTTTTAACTTATGATGGTATTGCATGTAAGCTAATCAACACCGTATTCTATTCTACAACAGATCAAACTCCCTGTCTTTGTGTAATTATTCCATTGACAGCTTTGGAAGAATTAGTAATTATTGAGAAATTAAACAACGTTACTGATGTCATACTGTGTAAGTGAGTACTCTCGCTTGGCTGGCGTGACAGACATGTTTTTGTCAGTAGTTCCTGACAAATGGGCTCTGTTGAGCATTCCTTTGTTTTCACCTCTTTACCAACCAGCGAATTGATTTGTTTGAGAGCTACAATAAAGCATCCTTTTTGCATAAACATTGAACGAATCGAGAACTTTTTCGTCTTAGTTATGAATATGAAAATATTAACATTACAACAACATAAATTCCCAAAGCACGTGTTATTGTATTAATGTGACGTTATAACAAAGAAAATAGAAACACCAACATTGATAACAAATATATTTCAAATCGATTTCAAAATTATCTAAACCTTAATAGTGACATGTATAGACATGTTTGGAGATATTTACGTAAATTAGTATAGATGGGTTTAGTAAACTATCCTTATCCTTGAAATAAAATTTCCATGAAATAGTTCATTTCTTTTAACCACGATAAAATTGAGCTCATTGAGCTCAACAAATTATATGATTGTACAATGCTATTTAAAATCGATGAGAAATAGACCTGGCAGAATACAAATTAGAGAAATCATCGACTATTGCCAGACAATAGTGAATACAGCACCTCCAATCTCAACTTTATATCTAAAACGAAATGCTCTCATAATAGGATTTGTTTAATCAGTCGGTTTCCTTTTCGCCAACGAAAAATAAAGTTCTACACAAGCATGCACAAACTGCACATGAATTGTTCTAATTATGATAAAATGCACATGCAGACCTACAAAGGTTATATTGATACAAACTTATACCATATGTTAGATGTGCTGTTTATACTTGGATTATACTGTTTCAGTGAGAACTCGACCTGACAAATAAATTTATTATAGATAATGTTTCACCTTTACCAAATTTAGAAATGAACCACTCCTTGATAGGTTGTGTAACAAAATGACATCCGGGCTATTGAAAACAAAACGCTTAAAGCCCCAATATACGTAAAAATCACTATAAAAAAACAAACTTTATCTTATTTTCCCCGTAATATATGTAACAAAACAAATACTTTCCTTTGATTAAAGAAAATAAAACTGACTGTTTTCAATTTAAATAAAAATTGAAAAAATCGGAAAATAAACAATGTGGGACCCACAATAATTCATACATTACCGCTCGTAGCGATGACATTGCGCATGCGCATATTCCGCGTGTGTAAACATGGCAGACACAGTACAGACGTTCAACAGTCGCTTCCTTTTTTTCCAATCATACATCAGGCCAGTTCTGAATTCTTACGTTATAATTGTGCGTCGTATCGTTTCTAAACTAATTATTCCTTCTAATAATTTCCCAAAAACTGAATGTTTATCACAGAAATACCTCAAGTCTACGACAAGACTTCGCAAACAATGTTTGTAAACAAAAACTTACCGTAGACATATCTGCATGTGATTCCTCTATAAGTAGAAACCTCAACTCTCGCGAGATCTGGCCCCACTTGTATAAAACATCTCAACTTGAGATTTCCTCAAGTCGAGATTTTCCTCAGCTAATATCTCCTTGAAAATATCTTGTATGAAAATTCCTCAAGGAATTTCAGGACATCCTAGCCGATGCCTTCCTCCTGTTCCTTGAGAAAATTTTGTACAAGCCGTTTTTGAGGAGATATCAGCTGAGGAAAATCTCGACTTGAGGAAATCTCAAGTTGAGATGTTTTATACAAGTGGGGCCAGGTCATGAACTTTCCGACGTGGTTCGATAACAATCGTAATTTTGATGGCGGCGTGTTTAAAATGGAGGTGTGTTTACAAATAACTAGTTTCAACTGCTCATATATCAATACTTTATGTACAAAGTCATGATAACTATTGTTTGAATAACTTAATTTTTACTACATCTTAGAGAATATCTCAATAAATATGTGTGATTCTACACTAAATTTTTGGTGAATGTTACGTATATTGGGGCTTTAAACAGAAGTATTTATCGGGGTCTGTT